AGTAGAGGAAAATTAAATAGAAAAAGAGATACAATTGAAGAATTGGGAGAGCAAAGGCACAAAGCAAACAAGGATAATTTAAAGATTGAAATATCGAATCAAAGGGAAAAACACAAAATTAGAGAGATATAGGACTTGAGTTTCTACTTGCTTCTGAGACCAATCGTACAGAGTATCATAACACAAAGAGCATTTTGAACATGGTCGGGGCAAGACCAACAACAATAGCTGCGTCGTCGACGCAAGCCAAAGACGTTTTCGAAGGCAGTTTATCAACAAGGGCCAGCTGTTCCGAGCTGTTCAATGCCCAGACTCGTATTGCTGTCGGGGCCCTGAGCGGTAGCGAGTTGTACAATTTATTAGCTGCATGCATTTCAGTCGACTAGCTGCTGATGTTCGCCTCAATTAAAGTACATTTTAATAATTTCATCACTTGACAGCGACGAGTTCTGCCAGATGATTAAATACTTTGGCTCTTAGCATAATTAAAGGCTAATTTGCAGTAAGTATTTCTTTTACACAAATACTCGACTGCCACCTATTAGTAGTAGTCTGGCCTCCGTCAAAACTCTACAAATAATTTGCATACTCTAGCACTTTGTTATTCAGGTCAAGGAAACTATCAACGAAAATGTATAGTATAAATATGAAGAGAAGCTAAAGGAATGCTATGCGAATTGGTGGATGTATATAAATAAATAGTTTATGCGTCTCGCCTTTGGTTGAGCATGGACAATTTTATTGTACATTCAGGTGCGACGATAAAAAAAAATTTGGCCCCGTCACAGTGGCGCAGAGTGCGAAATATTTTATTTTATAATCTTATTTAAATATATATTTTGAAAAATTTTTAAATCAATTAAGAGACCTATAAAATAATTTACTACATGTAATTGAAAGGACTATATAAGAGGGAATTGCACAAAAGTTTCTAAATTTAAATTCCTGCCCTTAACCAACTACTAATCGACTTTACTTCTAATTGTATTTATAAGTTATTGAACATTTAAGTCCTAAAACACTAAATAAGTCGAGTATTCCAACAACAATATTGTAGATGCTTTAACCTAAAAAAAAAAAAGGTTGAACTAAATTTACTGGCTATTTTACCATTGTGTTGGGTTTGATCATAATTTTACTACGTCCATTCATTAGGGGCACCTCTTGCGTGTCCCGTTCGAATTAGGTTAACTAAGTGGTAAACTCGTTTTCGTGTGCGCGAAAAGTGCGAAAGCTAATGAAAATGCGTGTAAAAGCGCAGCGGGTGGATAATGTCTAACAAGAAGCCGCGCATTAGTATCTAGGGGCCATTTATGCATCATAAGTTCAAGGCCATTCAATGGTGTTTTGAACAAGTGGAACTGAAAATTATATGTATGCACTTCACCCCAAAAGCTTTTAGTGTCACGCTTTTCAAATTATTTTTAACGGCTCATTAGGCTGACCCAGCGACAAAAATCTAAACCGAAAGTCCACTAATAATACCCAGTTGTAAAGGCTACACAATGCTGACCAATTAATTAGAGACTTTGATATAACTGACCTTGTTTAAGTCGCGTCCTTTTTCTTCCATTTCTTTTCCTTGGCTAATGACTTAAGTGGCCCGACTAAAAGGGTCTACAAAACTATTGACGCGGTTAGGTCAGCTCATCAATCATCCACACATACAAAATTGACATTAGCTATTGAGAAAGAAACGCTTCCGCGGAAATGACCAGGCACTAAACACCATTTAGACCCGCAGCCTGCAACCCAAAGCTTCGACAAAAATGGCACAATGCACTTTGTGGACGGAAATTGCATGACCAACGCTTTCAGTTTTCATGCACTAGCCATAAAACTAAACAGCTTAAGAGTTGCTAAAAAAAATGCAAACAAGTTGAGCTAAAAAAAAAACTATAAAGTTGAAAAAACATACATTGCTAAAATATTTAGGCAAAAGAAAGGGCGAAACAATTATAAATACCTTAATTCTACCCTTTTTTGGTATATTCTACAGTTTTGATCATTAATTAGGCACATAATATTACGTGCCATATAAAAAAAAATGTACGGAAAATAAATCCAAAATAGGTAAGTAAGCAGATAAGGAAAATCATTTCCGTATAGAACGTTTTTAAAATAATATACTTCTATATTATAAGGGTATTTGATGGCAGGTGTTAGAAAAATTTAACATTATTTTTCTAATATGCCTATCCTTAGGTGACTAAGAAATAATTATTGAAGGAATAACTTCACTTAAATATGCACTTTATGTTTGGAAAGAGTATGCAATTCTAGAGTTAAACTACATTTAAAAACGCAGCAATTTTTTCAGTCATGTCAATTTGTTTGCTTGCATTTTCTTTTCCTCTTTTTGGTTTCTTACCACCGGCATTTTGCATAGTTTACACACAGTAAAATTTGCGTCGTCACGAGTTTTAATTTTAGCTTCGCGTTGCTTTAATTAAACAATTTATATATATATTTTTTCTATTTTTCCCTTTTGCACACAATTAAAATTTGGACAATTTGTCCAGCCCCACCAGCTGCTCACCTATATAGCTAACTTTTGTTATTATTTGTTATTTCAATCGCATGAGTTTTATTTGCATAACAACTTTACAAGTTCAGGCCAAAACAAAGGCAACAAACGCAACAGACGAGCTTCAAATTACAACTGAACAGCGCAAGCTAAATTCATTAGCCGACTCAACACCAACACACAGCTACAATGCCAACTGGAGCACGAAGAACAACCACAACAACAATAAAAATAGCAAAAGTAACAATAGAATTAATAAAGTAAAGGGCATTAAAAATGCCTGTGACCGAGCGAATGGAGGGCAATGCTCTTCAAAGTTAGAAACGCACACGACAGTATTAATTAATAATTTAAATTACCGCATTGTTAAATAAAATTTAAACAGCTCCTTTAGCCAAGTGGGTCCTGTTGCCTGATATGCCCGTTTGTAGAGTACACCAGCTGCAATTATTGATAACATGCACGTTATAAACGCAAACAAAGCATACAAAATTGAAAAAGTGAATTGTGAAAAGCGAAAGCATCTACACATCTATTCATTTTCTAATTGAAACTAGCAAAAAGTAGTAAGCTGAGAGTGTTTAACTGTTACATACCCTATAAATAATTTCTTGGACAAATGTGAACTCAGTCTACCAATGCTATACGGAACCCAAGACGACAAACTATTCAATAGCTTTGCTAAACAGCAAGAAATTAGAAAAGAAAACCTGGATTGAAGCTAGATATTTATCGAATAACGGAAAACGATTGGAACTATAGATCGTTGGATAGAGACAACGCGTTCTATAGTTAGAGCTACATTGCAACTTTGAATACACTTGCTTTTATGCTCTGCGACAATGCTCATAAACAAACAAATTTATATTTATCGACTTCCAGAAAGTAGGCAAAAAGTTATGGATAATTTATAAAAAATTAAAAGACGAATTGAACCTGTACAATAAATTTGAAGAAAATTTCTATAATTTTCTAATTGACTAAATTAAAAAAAAAAAGAAAACACTCACAATTCGGGAAAAGATAAACTCGTAACACTTTGAAAAGCCGTTGACAACTAAATTTAAGTTTTGCGGCAGCTGCTCGGCCAAAGCGCATCGGCTCAACGAGCCGTAAAAAATTCGCGTAGTTGTGGATAATCTTACGAGCATTTTTTTGGGCGTTGTGCCAATCAAGCGTGAACAACCAAAATTGGCAAGATTTTGGGCGCCACTCCTCCTACCCACTTACCCCTCCAGTACGACGACCAATTGGCAAACGATTCTCGCTTTGCGGCCGCTCGCTTTCCAAATTACGCTGCGACGCATTAGGCGATTTGTATTGTCGCGCGCTGCCAATAAGCAATTCGCGTTGATTCACAAATTCCTTGGCCGACTTCACTAGCGATGCGATAGATGGGCTTCCCTCCTGCTGCTCCTGCGACTCCGACTCGGCCTCTGCCTGCGCCTCGCTCAGCTCCAGTTGCTGCTCAGAGTTTTGGCTTGTGGTTGCTAAGGTAGAGTTAGAGGCATTTGCGGGTTCATTGCACTTGCTGCTTGTGTTGGCCATGCGATGACATTGCCCTGGCTTATAACCCTCCATTTGCATTAAAAAGGCGGCAGGACAACTGGTTGGTGCATTGTTTTTGTTAGTATTGTTTTCAAGGGTTTTGATAGCCGCGCTCAGGCGATGGCGATCGTGCTCCAGCTGCTTGCGTTCCAGTGATAAGAATGGCTGCAGATCCATGTTGGATATGTAAACTATAGACATTGAAGATAATACTAAATATATTACTTTAAAAGAACCCAACAAACTCACTGTAATTGAAAATGCATCTCAGAAATTGTGCGCAAATGTTAAATTACACATTTGCCAGCTAACTTTTAGCCTTTTGATAGTCACTTTACAAAAAATTTGCGTATGTCACATTATTAACTTTAATGTCAGACAATAGCATATTGAAGAAATCCTTATCACTTGATATTTTGTTAAGTGTCTCCTGATTTGTTATTTATTAAATTATTTTTAGCGGATTTCACGCCACAGGTCTGTTGCCTGGGAAGCAAAGCATTTCAGCACTGACTGCAGCGTAATAAAACTAAAATGATTTACATATTTTTTCGCACACAATTCGCGATAATTAGCTACCATTCGGTCAATTAAAGCAGATGCTCAAATTATTGACTTATTACACTACCCCGTGCCTTTTTTAATATTAAAAAACACACACTTGAGACAATAATTTCGAAATTGTTAAATTTTCTGCGCGCTTGACTGTGATGGCATTCGCTGCAATGAGGGGTGCGCAGTGCGCACAGAGCGTCGCGACCCAGTGTTGAGAAACAACAGCATGTAGCAGCCCTGTGTTGCAGCCCTGCAAACTTAAATTTTATAATATTCAAAATAGAATTCAAATTAAAGCAGGCTGATATTACCTGCCAAATACTTAAGAATCTATAACAAACGTAAATTCTGAATTATATGTAGATACCAGTCTTACAGATTTTCAGGTGAGTTAAATAAAAAAAAATTGAATAAACCAAACTCGCAAAAACTAAATATAGCATTAATAAACGAGCACGCCAGATATGTCTGAAAAGAATGGGCAGACCAAATCGCTCGAAGCAAAGTTACCCTGGTACTACAATGTATACAATACCATCAAGGATACGCCCATTAATCTGACGCTGCTTCTCGTCTCGGCCTTTGTTTTCTATAAAGTGGTTAACATTACCCGCCAACGGCGTAATCTTAATCGTATCCGGACTTTCTTTGGCTACGACAAAGGCAATCAGATATCGCAGCTACCGCCGCTGCATCGTGATTTTACCGTTAAAGAGTTACTCGAATATAATGGCACTCAAGAAGATGGACGTATTCTGGTAGCGGTCAATTTTAATGTATATGATGTGTCCTGTGCCAAGCACTTTTATGGCGAGGGTGGCACATACCCTCAGTATGCAGGCTGTGATATATCGCGCAGTCTAATTAACTTTTCAGCGGAGCGAAATGACTGTCTGGACTTTGATGATCTTAGCGATTTAACTGCAAAGCAGAGGAGCACATTAGTGGAGTGGGATCAACAATATGCTGAAAAATATCCTCTTGTTGGCCATTTAATGCGTGAAGAAGAGCCACCCATAATTGATGCAAACGAAGAGGACAAAAACGCGGAACTTGAGAAATTATTGGAAGAATACAACATGTAACTTATTTAAAAATTTATTGTTACAAACCTCAAATACATGTAAACTGAAAAAAAATTAAAAAGCTGAAGTGAGTACAAAAAAATTGTTTAAATTAGCGCCCAACGCTTGACAACGCCAAAAATGCAACCGTACGCCCAGATAGTTAACCAACACTGGTCATCAGCTGTTCGCTGTGACAGCGCCCGTCAAACAACGCGTCCACTTCCGTTTCTTTTCACTTTTCACCAGCAAGATGAAGTACGTAAAAAATAAATTAATTTATAGAAAATATGAACATCACTGCGCAAAGCCGATTGATTAGTGTTTCAAGCGACAATGGATGTTGTGCATTGGTGTTGTGCTATTATATTTCCTAAGCCTATGCTCAAACAATACGTTTTTATTGCAGAATCGGTTTGTGTGCATTCAGCGGGTATAAGATTTACCCCGGCCATGGCAAGACCATGGTCAAAATCGATGGCAAGGTAATTTAAACAATTTGTATGGTCTGATTAAAAGATTTAATTTGTATGTATGTATATTTGTAGACCTTCACCTTTCTGGACAAGAAGTGCGAGCGCTCCTACCTGATGAAGCGTAATCCCCGTAAGGTTACCTGGACGGTACTTTACCGCCGCAAGCACCGCAAGGGTATTGAGGAGGAGGCCTCCAAGAAACGCACGCGCCGCACACAGAAATTCCAGCGCGCCATTGTTGGCGCCTCGCTGGCCGAGATCATGGCCAAGCGCAACATGAAACCGGAGGTGCGCAAGGCTCAGCGCGACCAGGCCATAAAGGTGGCCAAGGAACAGAAGCGTGCCGTCAAGGCAGCCAAAAAGGCCGCAGCACCAGCACCCGCCAAGAAGTCCGCGCCCAAGCAGAAGGCCACCAAGGTAACGCAGAAGTCTGCGCCTCGCGTCGGTGGCAAGCGATAAACAACAACTAGCTGATCGGTTGCTGCGAAGGGAAGTGAAGTGCTACGGTTTTTATAACAAAAATGATTGAAGAGAAAAAAATTTTAGTGAAAAACTAATTAAAAAACAAAAGCTACAAATGTAAATTTACATTTGTAGCGGTTAAAAAAAATAACGCGTACTTTTGTTTTTGCCAGGTGCGTTTAGCCGTCGGTTAAAAAATGGAACACAAATATAAAAAATGCAAGTTTACGTTCGGTTATTTCGAAGATGTCCAGAGTGTAACCCAACTTGGAGCTTTAATTAATTGAAATTTATATAAACAAAAAAAAATGCCATTTGTGGATATTTCGTAGACCTGTCGATAAAGGTAGATTTTTTCGATTTTGTCTACAGAGTAATAATTTAATTATGTTGACTCTGATCGACGACGGACTATAACTTAGAAACTGGTTTTAAATATGACCAAAATATATTTTCCTTAAATTGTTTAATAATCTCAGCGTTGTATTCGTAGATTACAGTGGCTACACCATTTGTTTGTTGAAGAAAGAAAAATTGTATTTGATAGTGCATTTAATCTTCGGCTTCTCAAGAATAAATGATTTTATTTTTTTTGTATAAGTTTAGCAAACATGTCCGTGCCACTTATCCATTGGATATAAATGAAACACCAGAGTAATGCAAAAATGCAGAGGGTATTATAATTATTTCATGAAATGTGTAACGCACAGGAGACATCTTCGAGCCCATAAAATATTTATATATTATTGATCAATATCAACAGTCGATATAACTCTGTCATGTTCTATGCGAACTTGAAACTTGCCTCTTTCTGTTGCACTATATCACGCAGCTGTCATAGGAACGATCGGTCGAAAAGTAGGTTTGGTATGAAAAACTATTTTGTTTATCTAGATATCATGACCAAACTCGGCATTTATAAATCCCTCGTCATTTATTCAAAATCTTTATACATCGGACCATTATATCTGTAGCTTTCATAGGAACGATTGGTCGAAAATTAAGTTGTACGAAAAACTTAGTTTGAAAGGTTGGGTCTGCAAGGGTATCAAATCTTTGGCGTGCCAAAGAAAGCCCTTCTTTCTCGTTTATATTTTCCGTTTTTATCTCACAGTCGTAACGTTTAGGTGTAAAATTGAGATTTTGAACTTTGTGTTTTCCTTTGACGTTGATAGACGTTTTACAGGCTTTTAAGTGTGGGGATTTATTATTGCACACAAAGTAGTAAACATAGAAATAATTCGATGGTTTTTATTTTAAATAAACTCGGAATTGTATTTCTTGCATCCTATAAAATTTGTCAAATGTCCTATGGCGTCCGTGTGCACCTTGACATAGGTGCAATTGGGATCGTACAGGACAGTTACTTGCTCTTCTTGGAAATCATCATCATATGAGCTCTCCAAATGCACCGTCGGCACCTGCAGTTCGACGAGCTCAATGCAGTCCAGATCGCAAAGTAGCTCCAGTAGGAGCATCGTGTCCACGGGCAACAGATGCGGAAAGCGAAGGAACAGGCTGTGCACGGTGCTGCCGTTGCGCGTAATGCACTCACTCAGCACGGCGCCCATCCAGCGATCGAGGACGCGACGATTGAGAGAAGCATTCACACGTATCCAGGGCTGTGGACGCATTGCAATCACATCGCGCGTGGCCTCAGTATCGCCAACGGACTTAGCCGCCGATTCCGGATTGCCCTCTGCTCGCTTAAGCCGTTTGGAGCGGCGGGCGCAATTGAACATTGCCATTTCACCGTCTGTATCCGTGTCTGTGGCCTCATCCCCGCTGCTCGGCTCCATCAGCGGCGTGAAGCACAGTTTGACCTTTTTGCTGGGACTCGCCTGTTGTGTATCCGAGTCAGACAGTTGGCGCTTTTGGCCCGCCACCGCTTGCAACGTTGCCGGCGATGCAGCTACCAGTGTCTGGACGCGCTCACGCTCCAATCGCTTGATATGGAACGTGTGCACCACCCAGTTGCGCATATGCGATTTATGGACATACATATAGCTGGCCACGCCCACACGCTTAATAAGATCATGCGCCTCCAGTTCGAGCAGCGCCTCCAGCAAAAATTTGCCCAACGGAAAAATGCGTCGCAGCTCCACAGCATCTGCGCCAAGGGGGTATTGTTGTACATGCTCCAGAATGTCTTTTATGTGCTGAATGGCGCTCGGCTCATAGTTGCGCTCCAGCAGCGTGGGCAGCAGCGTCTCGAAGCTGTTATCCGTATAGTGCCAATAGGTGGCTCTGTATGAAAAGTAAATGTTAATAATTGGGCCTTTAAACATGGAGGAAGAAGAGCGGAAGTAGAAGAATAAGGCAAAATTGGGAACAGAATATGTATCAGTAGAAGAAGCAGGGATGGGGCTAATGTCTGGCTGAGGCATAAATGAAAGGAGAAAAGCGAGTATGGAGAGAAGGGGAGAGCACGGCATCTCACTTACTTGGCCACCTTATCGAGCACCATTTTACGCCGCTCATCATGTTTAGGCTGCAGCTGCGAATGCTCTAGTTCCTTCATGCGAATGGTGGGCAGATGGACGACAAAGACGTCCTGGGCGCGTGCACGCTCCTCCTTGTTCAACGAAGGTTCGTAATTCTGTGGCCGATCTGTTTCCTCTTTGCCCGCCTCATAGTTGAGCAGCGCATTACAAAGCGTATGCCAATTCGTGATCCTATACAGCGTTGTGTCAGCTAGAGTTTTGCCCAGATCCTTTACCTCCTGCGGCTGCTGCTGCTGGCGCCAGTAAGCCTCCAGTTGCTGCACCAACGCTATGAGATTGCCCGTGGACACGGTAAGCGTCGTGCTGCTCGACGTGGAGCTATCCAGTTGCAGCTGCAGCGGCACCATCGGCAATGCATCCGCCACCAGCTGACGTAAAAGGGCGCGATGCTCATAGATGATGCGCTCTATGGCATTCAGATAGTTTCCACTGCGCATAATGCAACCAAAGGGGCATTCGCCGTGCTCCAGCCGCGCGCAGCTAATGTTAACCGATTGCCCAAGCGCGTCCAGAGCGCAAAAGAAGTGCATGGAGCGCATGGGCAGTTTATTGAGCTGATTGTAGACGCTGCACTGCACCCGATACGTGAGATTCGCTGGATGGAAACGCACACGAGCCGCATGGCGAGCACTGCAGACGCTCTCCAGCCGCTTGGCATACTCCGTTTGCGGTGCATTGTCAAAGATGCTGCTATAATGATCCAATATTCGATCAGTGGCGGAGCCGCTCTTGACGGGCATGCTGCTCGTGTCCACATTGAGTATATTTGCTGGCAATTGCAGATCCAAAGCTAACCAGTTATTTGTCGTCCACTCGCCCAGAAGCAGCAGTTGAGCGAAATTGGGCGAGGGCAATTGCAAACTGGTCAAGCCCGGCTGCTCATGGAAACGTCTCTCGAAAGCATAGTAGGCGTCGTAGAGCAAGTGTCCGTACTTTTGGCACACCAGCCGGTACTTGTACTTAGAGCTCAGCAAATGTCCCGGTCCGGATACTTGACGATTAACGTGCTGCATATTACGCCGCTTGACGGCCACCAACAGCGAATCAGCTCGCGCTTTATTAAAAACCGCATTCAGTACATCCTCAGAGAAGTGTTTGTAGATCTCGAATGCTTGCAGATTGAACAGAGTCTTATCCTTGGCGCTGCACAGTATGCTATGCTGTACACCTAAGACGACAGTTATCTGCAGTTCGGTCTCTGTAGTTGGATTTGCATAAAGCAATGAATCCTGTTCACCATTCGGCGGGATGCACTCCCTGAAACGGCTGCGATAATCCTCAAGGTTGTCCGGCAGCAAGAATTGACGATACACAAAGTCCTGCAAACAAAATAAGATAAGGTAAGAGCGTGATGGTGTAAAGTGATCGAAGCACATACATTCGGCAGACGGGTTCAGGATTTGCGTGCCTCTGAGAAGATATACACAAAGGTGCAAATTGCAAAATTTGTGACTATACATTTAATAATTAGGATATTGGGATAGGGTATCCAATGCTGCGTTGTGATTCGGGTATCGATATTTATCGATTTCTTGGGCACAAAATAAGTGTCAAATAAATAAAAAAAAACTTGATTTTCGTATGAGAAGAGCATTTCAAATTTTGTTAAACCTGATTTTCAAAAAATCACCTTAAAATGCGCAGGAGCGGAAATTGAAAATCGATATTTATCGATTTTATGAAAATAGTAAAAGGTTGAATGATCGAATTTCGATATATCCCTATTAACGGAATGACATGGCTAAATTGAATGGAAAGGGCATACACATAGATATCCATCCAAATAATCACTCACCTCATTAATGATCATACGATGCAGTTTCTCAAGTATGATCACAAAGTGAATAATTAGCTTCTCGATTTGATCGCTGCGTGCAGGATACTCTTGCTTGAGCTGGGGTAGGAAACGTTCATTGTAGATGGCATTGAACTCCGGCTGGGCCTGCATCATATAGATCCAATTGCGCACGTCGGGCTGATCGCGTTTCATGCGTATGAGGAACTGCAGCCGGCGCACACAAGCCTGCGTCGTCTTGTTATTGATGCCCAAATAGCGACGGATTACATCACGGCAAATGGTGCCCACATTATAGAGTGCCAGTGCTGGCAGCGGTGCATCAATGAACAGGTAGACAGCCCGTCCCATTTTGAGCACACGATCCTCGGCGGGGCACCAGGTGACGCGCAGGGTGCGCATATTGCGCAATGCATCGCGATCTATGTCATCTCGCGGTCCGCTCTTGCGCTTTCGCACATCCATCGAGTTGGGACCACGGATTTTACTGAAACGTGGCACCGGCTTGAGGCGCATCAAACTGAGACGCTTGCGCACAGGGAACGGCGCTGTGGCCTTGCGTGCATTGGATGCCGTTGACCGGGCGGCAGCAACTGAGTTGCGCTTCACCCAGGACCAGTGACGAAACTGATGAGCAAAGAGCGACGAGCTAAGACCAGCGGCGCCTTGCTGATCACCCGGCACACTGCCATTATCCAGCTCCAGTGCTTCTTCAAAGTCAACTGTGCGCACAAAGCTTAAGGGTTGCAGACGGTTCTCATTCCTGCCGACCACCTTACGCTCCTTGTGCTTGAGGAAACCCAGCTTGGTATAGATGCACACATGCTGCAGCTTGGCCCAATAGTCTGCAATCTGTTCGCGACTCCCGAACTCAAACGTGATCTTCTCATAGCTACGCTCCGGACTAATGCGTTTGTAATTATGTCCGCTGCTCGTGGTGGTGTCCAGCAGGCAGGTGCGTCGATTCAGATAGACCCAACGCTGCAGTGTATCGCGACCGAGCTGCCGTTCGCTGACCTGCAACAGGCCCATGTTGTTCAGCAGTCGCAGCGTGCCCAGATATCGCTGCTGTAGACTCACGCGTGGTATGAGTTGCTGCAGTTTCAGCTGGCTAAGCAGATAATGCTGACGCACCGGATGCTGCAGTTGGGGTCGCAATTTGTCCATAATATCCCGCTCAACCCGAAATATACGCAACATCAGCGACAGCGGCATACGCTCCAGTGCATCCACAAAGTACAGCCAGCCGGCGGGTTTGTCACTGTAGGATGGCAGCGGTGGTATGAAGGTGCGCCAGCTTATCTCTTGCGTGTAGGGCAGCACTTCTGACTCTTCGGCCTGCCATTCCTGCAGAAACTCGCGTGTCATCAGCGATGGTTCCGTACGTTGCCAATGCTGCAACAGTTCCTCGTTCATTTCCAGCGGCTTCTGCTCCCGTTGCTGTTCGCACAGCAAAAAGAAGAGGAACTCGTGCAGGGTGCACGCCACCAGCAGCTTGGGCGCCGATGGTTTTGGCTTTTCCGCCTGCTGACGCTCCATACGTAACCTTTTGCGTGCCAACAACTCGCGTCGGTCCTTGCCCGCCAGTTGAGAGGGACGCATTTGTCGTTCCTCAGTCAGCAAATGGAAATTGTTCTTCAGACGCAAAATTTCGCGCTGCAGCTGCTCGTGCTGGATATCAATCTTGGGATGCGTGACCAGACGATAGAGACGCACACGTTGCTCATACTCTAGTGTCACCTCGTACAAATTCAAAATGCGTGCATGCTGCATTCGTTCTAGCAGCCGAAACATTGATTTGCGGCATATTTTCTCAAGCGAACCGATATTCTTCTCTGATTGCATTATGGACCTCGCCAAATCCATGGTATGTATGATGCAGGACTTGTCAATTTGCTGCACAATTAATATTTTGCGTGCCACATGCTGTGGTGTCTCCTTTTCTGCGCTTTTAGCCGGCTTCATGTTGAATACCATGGGACGCACATTAACTTTAATATTGGGCAGATCATTTACAACAATGTCTACATTCTGTGGCACGTTCTGGAAACAAAAAGGGATGAAATGGTTTACATATATATTCTTTGGGTTTATTACTTTGTCTATATAGTGTTAGGTTAGAGCTTGACTCACCAGCTGCTCCTGGCACTGCAGCTGCAACACCGACTTTTCCAACTGCTCTTTTTTTTCCATGACATATGCCTCGGCCTCTGTGCCAACAACCACAAAGCGTGTGAGGCGCGACTTGCCCACAGTTTCCGTATAACTTTTGATCATTTGCTTACGCAGCAGATGCTTGATGGCACTGCGTGCGATTTGAAAATTAATGGACACATATTGGCCTAGCTCGAGGGTAGTCATGCCGCGTGCACCGAAACGCTTGATGGCGCGCAGACACTCAAGCTCAATGGGCATATTGACATAGGCGTGACGCTGGCTTAGCAACTCATCCGGCTCCTTGTCGTCGCGCTCATCATTGTTGTCCATTTGGCTAAGCTCTTCGAACTCCATGTTGGGATTACGCAGACGCACCACCGAAATCTTTCGTCCTTTGGTCTGCTTGGCGCCGCTGCTGGCTGGCTGTGGCGGATAAACCATTGTAGTCTCAAAGATCTTCCGAAAATTGTGCGAAACGAGCAGCTTTTTCATCCTTGAATGATTCAGATCCGGTATGCGATCCAAAATTTCGCCCGGGGGCACATACTGGTTTGGACTCGCCTTAATCTCTGTATAAAACTTCTCCATGAGGCACTGCAAATGATTCTTGTAGATGCGAAAGAAGCGCGGCAGCATGACCAACGTCGAGGCCAGATTGCGTCCATTGCAGCGTTCCGTATATTGCTGGCCAATTATCAGATGCTGCTTCAGCAACCAATTTCTGTGCAGCATTCAATTCTGATGAGTGAGCAACTGCTGGACTACTAGCTGGACTACTCACCTTAAGTAAAATATTAAGCTCGGATCCTTAAAATAGTTGGTCATCGACCAGGGCCCACGCGTCGTTTCGCCATTGTAGCGTGCACGTCCTACACTCTCTAGAAATATATAGTGTTGCACGGACATCTCACGGGGCAGCAGCATATTGGGTGGCTTCAGTGCCTTTGTACGCTCATCCTGACTGGCCACCACAACCAGCGTCTGGTGATAGCGCTCGGTTGCCGCCGCGGCGGTTAGTTCCTGCAGCACACTTACATTAACGGCCTTGCGCATCTTGTAGTCCATGCAGTTCCCACGAATGGACCCATCCTGTATAGGCGCATAGGGCGGACGCAAAAAGGGGCAGCTTTCCGGGACCACTGGCAAGCCCGATTCCTCATCCTGATCATTGAAGCGCTTATAGGGTGGCAGCCAAGGACGTGCTACGAACAGCTCATAGAACTTCACTTTGTCCGTGGAGCGCAGCAATAGCAACCATATCTGCTGCTGCAGCGCGTCCGGCAAAGGTTTCCCACCGTATAGACGTATGTTTAGCAAGGACCACAAATCTAGAGAAGGAATTATTATTATTTACATTTCAGACTTATCCTCAAGTATGCAGACTGCTTGCGCATACTGTTTAAAAATCTATTTCATTTCCCGAATTCACTTACATGGCAATGTGGTGCCTTCCAAGCCTTCCAGCGCTATTTCGTCGAACACGGCGCTTATCCAGGAGCCATCTGCATGTGCCGCACACATTTTATCCGTTTTCAAATACCAATTTAAATTATTTAATTCGCATTTCAATTTTATTCACTGCGCACTGAGCGTCGTCGCGTAAAACAGCTGTGCTTACAGAGTTGTCGCGTGTCTTCCAGATTAAGTTTAATTAATTGAACTGCTAGAAGATAGTATATGATATAATGAACTTATTTTCTGTTCCTTAAATAGCAGGTTAAGTTAGCAGGCAACTCTTTAGTTAAAAAATTGAATAAAATGTAATGGGCATGAATAATTTTAATTCTGATTAATTGTATTCTACATTTTGTAGATTTCTTTAATCATTCGATAACTCATCTATTCATTTACTCAGTTCTTCATGAACGTGACAGCATTGCAGAACTTTTAAAAGTATTTCATGCAAAGTTTATCGGTTATCAAAACCTTAAAAACAACAGTTTAAAAACTTAAACAATAATATATGCATATTCAATTCAAGAAGTGCATAGATCACATGAATAAATGAACTAAATCAAATTTGGAACAAAAATGCACAACTCTGGTGCCGCGCAGTGTTGCAAAATCTGCACACAGTATGCGTTAGAGCAAGACCACACTACACTGACAGCAGCTGTCAAAAAAGATGCAGCTGCCTGCAAACAAACGCCGCAACCGCTGTCAATTCTAGCGCTCTTTTACTAGGTTAAAGCAGAGAAATTTCGCAAGCGGCTTGCAAAAAAAAACTGAAAGAGTACAGAGCTAGCGGAAACTATATTAAATAAAAAATAACAAAAATCAAATTTAACACGCACACATGTCGAGCACAACCATGTCTACATTCAGTTTTGCAAGTATGGCAGCGCAGCTTAACGAGGAGCAAGGCATTTCGTTCCAAGACAAAGCTGAAACCTGGGACAATGCCGAGGATGGTGAGTAGACGCCGGCCAGTTAAACGCGGGCCAATAAATATTCTCCCATCTTTCAGTCAAAGCTGTTGTTGAGGCTCTCAAGAGCAAGCCCACAGTTCATTTTCTCAATCTCGATGGCAATACGCTGGGCGTGGAGGCGGCACTGGCCATTAGCGAGGCACTGAAAACACATCCAGAATTTCGAAAAGCATTGTGGAAGAATCTATTTACCCGTCGTCTCAAGTCGGAAATTCCTCTCGCACTGAAGCATCTGGGTGCTGGTTTAATTGCAGCTGGGGCCAAGTTGACGGTGCTCGACCTCAGCGATAATGCGCTGGGGCCCAATGGCATGACTGGCCTGGAGGAGATTTTACGCTCGCCCGTGTGCTTCTCGCTGCAAGAGCTGTATCTGAACAACTGCGGGCTTGGGCCGGAGGGAGGACGTATGCTGTCTGTGGCACTGATCGATCTCCACAAGAATGCCAAGGCGGCGGGCACACCGCTGCAGTTGCGCATCTTTGTTGCCGGTCGCAATCGCTTAGAAAATGCTGGCGCCAAGGCAATATCGAAGACATTCAAGGTACTGCAAACCCTAGAGGAGATTACCATGCCTCAGAATTCCATTTATCACGTGGGCGTCGCCGCTCTCGCCAGTAGTTTCAAAGAGAATCCACATTTGCGCGTCCTCAACATGAACGACAATACACTCAACGCCCGGGGTGCCGCCAAAATAGCTGAAGTTTTCGAGCATACACCGCTGTAAGTTCAACCCTTGCAGAGCCCAATAATTATGCATTCTCTTCTGTCTGTTTATTCATATTCCAACAAATTTAACACCAACCTCTATCGCAGTTTGCGGGAAATTAATTTTGGCGATTGTTTGCTGAAGACTGATGGCGCCTATCATTTTGCCGAGGCTTTGGAGCAGAACCATGAGCATCTGGAGGTATTGGATTTAGGCTTTAATGAGATCAACTACGATGGTGGCCTTGCGCTGGTAACAGCTGTGCAAAATAAGCCCAAGCTTAGGATATTCAATTTGGATGGCAATTGCTTTGGCCAAGCTGGGAGCGCACAAATCGTTGACCAAATGGCTAAAGCCAAGAATTCCGCCGCATTGCAATCCATGGACGAGGTCGTATCTGAGGAGGAGGGTGAAGAAAGCGGTGCCGAAAATGATGGTGGCGACAATGAAACACCCGAGAATAGCGAGGACGAGTATAACGATTACTTGGAGGAAGAGGACCCAGAGGATGATGGTGAATACGATCCAAATGATACCACCGAAGAGGTGGACGAAGATGATGAAGAGGACTATGCCAACGAAAATCTCGCCGAAGAGACCGCCTACGTGACCAGCAATGCCTTTTCCACCAAGGTTAGTGGCCAGTGGCAGGTTAAACCAATCCGATTAATATCCTTGATAAATTTATGATTCGCCGCAGCTTTTTAACGAAACCATCAACTCTAACAAGACCAGCAACACTTCTGACATTAACAAAAATGGCAACAAGACGGTCATTAACGTCAGTTGCACCCCGGCGGAGTTTTGCCTGAGCCAAACGCCGTGCACACTGCAGCAATTTGATTCCCTAGAAGCGACAAACAAGCTGCAGGCGCTGCAGAACATAATCAATGTAAGATGAAATCAAAAGCGAGAGTCATTAAGCTATATAGACACCAATTCAGAAATTCAATTTTGGTCCGATCTTTAACTTTGAAAAATTATTAGGGAGGGGAGCAAAACTGATTTGAACTGCACTGAGTTTTCTATGACCGTGCCAAGCCGGTTATTATTTGCTACTCTATAAAATATTAAAAAATCCCATTTATATATTCATGCCACAGCAATTTAGCGATGACAACCACTTGCTGCTGCTCATCTTTACGACGCTCAAGTGCGCGCATCTGTCCCAGACATCCCAGGCGGCTTTGGAGCTGGCCGTTTCACTCTACCAGGCGACCTTTGACTATGCCATCAAAACGGAGCAGGAGTCGCGCGTGCTGGACTACTATCTCAAGCAGCTGGGCCTGTTGCGCAGCGAAGAGCATTTCAAGAGCGACTACAATGTCAAGAGCTGTCGCTATGCTCTCCGGGAGGCAATCAAAAGGGAAACGTTTGCCAATGATAATATTAAAAATACATTTAAAATATTTCTCGATCAACTCGATGTTTAGAGTATGCCATTAAAAACGATTAACAAAGGATTTCAAGAACTATATTAACTATTTTAATAAATAAGTATATATTACAAATTCCAAACTAAAATTCAAATGCTTGTTTTGTTTGGGTTTCTGTTTGTAAAAAAAATAATCAACTTATTATAATTACAACGTTTATCAAAAGAGAAAAAAAGGCATTACTTTTTCCACAACACAATCAGCGTGTGATAATATCTATGTTATTCGAACTTTCAAAATAATAAAGAAAATTTCATATATTTTTCGTCAAATTAAGGAGTTTAAGAAATATTTGTTATTTCTTGAATGATCGATATGAACTTTATAAAAGACTAAAACATTTCTATGTTTAAATGATCCGATCTCACAATGGAATTTTTTAGGTTTGGAGCTTTAAGTTTTCTTTTTTACTGAAAAATCCAGTTTTAATACCAGCTTGTTTTTAAGTCATCATAAATGAATTTTTCAAGAATTTTTATTTTGCCGATTATATTATGTGGTAATATGCGATCTACATAACAACTGATATGAGCCTAATGAGACAATATAAAATAATATGCTACCAAATTAGTTGTTCCCACTTTTGAGAGTTGTTTCTAAGTTCTGGAAGCTCGCTATATTCTTTTTTATGCAAGTAATTAATTAAAAGGAATATATTCGGAATCAGAAAGAAATTTAAGTTCAGTAAGTTTTTTTTTGCGAGCTTTATGTTTTAAGAACTGTTGAATGGACTCCCCTGCACTGTTATTTACATTTGAGAATATAATCAAAACAGCAAGATTGCGTAAAATACATTTTATTTACAAGAAAAAAATGGTATTGTATGTGACTACAAACTATGTTTACAAAACATGATAATTGATGGATTAAAGAGTGCTTTGTATTTAATATAATGGTGGATTATCGCTTGTTTTTCTTCTTTTTTTTGTTTTTGTTTTTATTGTTGTCCTTGTTAAAAACTATATATTGAAAGAATGTTGCGAAGTTGTTACACAATAAAAATAAAATGATATAATGTGAGGAAATTTTGAAACATGAAGCGGACAAACTGCAATGCTTTAAAAATTCCTTAATTTTGTATGTTTCTATGAACGTTTCGCAATCGTATATTAGAAATACTTTTTCCTTTACTTATTTTAACCAAGTTTATGACCTTAAACACAATTTGTATTCTATGCATTCGGTATTTTTTTTGGTAAAATATTTGTAATAATATACCAGGAGTAGATCCAGGAGCAATAAGCATAACAGCTGCTGGAAAGTATTGACTCTTAATGCCTATATATCTTAGGCCTCGAAATCGGAATCATCGTCATCGTCCAAGCATTCAATCTCATCATCGTTGCTGTCGCTATCGATGACGTATCGCTTTTTGGGTGCCTTCTTCTTCTTGCCACCACCGCCGCTGCTGTCGTCGTCACGTTGACGCTTTGCCGCCGCCGGTCGTTTGGCGGGTGAATCATCGATATCCTCATCGCCATCATCGTTGTTTCCTGGTGCGCTGGCTGCCTCAGTGCCGCCCTCATCATCCGATAATAGGAAAGAATAGTCGATTTTTTTACTAGCGGCACGGCGACCAGGCCGCTCAACACGTACCGTTTCCATTTCGACATCTCCGGTACTCTCATCAGGGGAATCCTTCTTTGAACCCTAAATATCGGGTATTTGAAATTAATAAATGTCACCATTAAATAGCCAAAGTTATGAAACTTACCTTAGCCTTGGAAAAGTCTAGTTTGGGCTGCTTAAGTCCATCGCCGTTCTCTTTCTTTTGACGCGGCTTCTTCTCGGCTGGCTCCTTTTTGAGGACTGGCGCTTTCTTAGCCTTGGGCGAGGTTTTTGTAGCGCCGCCCTCGACCAAGACGTCAAAATCGTCGACCTCTTCGACAGTTTCCTTCTTATCCACTTTAACCTTGGTGTTCCGCTCCTTAGCCTTCACGGCGACCAATGTGGCGGCTTGGAATTTCTTGATAATATCATCAGTGATCGTAAATGCC